ACGTTACTGCTACAGTACCGGACTAGTTAAGGGTTAATAAATATAATTTAATTTTATTTATGTTATTTTCATTTTCATGTAAAAAAACTGAACGTTAAAGGTTAACAAGGCATAAACCACATTATGAGTGATTGACTGATTTCCAGTGTATTATTATTTATTTTATGTTTTCTATTCTGAATAGTAATTTAGTACTTATTTACAATTTAAAATATTGAACCACAATTGAATTTGAAACTGTCTGGTTTGATAGTATATATATACGTAATTTTAAGTAAACAACAGTTGTATCAATTACAAACACTATCAGTTGGACAAACATAAATTTTAATTTGAACCGCAGACTAAAATAATTAAATTTTTTAGTTTATCAGTAGTATGCGACAAATGTTTGTCTATACTTACATTAATTTAATTACTTGTTGATGTGGAATATTTCTAGCATTAACACGATTAATACGAGGTTGGTGTCATAAATTCTCGATATTGAATTTCAGTTGAGTAATCCTTTCATATTAGTAGGATTATACAAGTTTCATTATACAAATTCAATTGCGCCATAATTGCACATTTGTGATGATTACACTGTATGCGTGACACGTCGCAACATATTACTCCCTGAAGTTGGCCAAAGAAAATTTTTAGTGGAAATGAAAGAAGGATATAAACAACGTTTACTTCCCGGATAAAAACATATTCCCTTTCTTGATCTTCTGATGAATATTACAACAAGAACATTTTGAGTTAAAACCAGGGCCAGGGTTTTGAACAAACAAAATTTGGCGTCCTTTCATAAAAGAATATAAACATTTTACTGTAAATTAAAAAAAAAATTTCTCGACTTCATATACAGCAATTTTTTTTTCATTTTTTTAATCTGACGCACATACATAGATTTCAAAGATTTAGGCGGCCAAAATTATATTTGGTGTAATTTTGGTTCTATGTTCAATTAAATTAAAGGAAAGTATATATTTTTTACAACAAACATATATTTGTTATGTTATAAAAAACAGTAATACACACACAAATGAATGAAAACTCAAAATTAACAGTAAAAAAAACATATTAATAATCATTATTCTCCGGTTGAGACGTCTCCATTGACTCTGTGTTTGGGTCAGCAGGTAATAAAAGTTCAATCGGTTCAGATAGAAATGCCTTGCGTGAAGGTTTTTTTTAAATTGTGTTAAGCAACTAATGAAGAGATCTTAACTTAACAAAACCCTGTAATATACAACCAGGTTACACTCTTCCCTAGAAAACTTTCTAGCAAAATTTAACCGGTATGATCGGAAATGCTTCTTCTGATAGCTGCCCTATTGGAAGTAGCCAACTTTTTATGATTTGGCTTCCATGTATCAATAGCTTGTGCATGGTTGGCGTCATTGGATGCCAACCATACAGTCCCACGTATAATTTTGCTGTTTCGCACACATACGTATCATATTTTTCAGCATCTATTTTGTGACCACTTGAAATAGTTTCTAAAATTTCCTTGAATCTGTAAATCATATCAAAGCTAATACCTGTAATGTCTGAAGCCAATTTGGGATTTTCAAAAAATCTACGACTTGTGTTGCCATATCAAGGAGTAGTCCGGTTTCATTCCGAAACCTCTCCTGATTATCCGAGTTCTTTTGGGCTTCTAATGCCTTTTCTTCTTCACTTTTTCTTTCCCTGTATTTTTTACAGGTAGTTTAAACACAAGGTGTATAATACTTTCAAAAATACGAATCCGCGCGTGTATATATATATATATATATATATATATATATATATATATATATATATATATATATCCGGTTTTTTAGGCGTTACGCCCGTCCGGCGGTAGGGATCTATGGAGGAGTATCACCAAGCCGCAAGCCCTTAACTCTTGCCGTACTGCTCCACCATAGGCCGATCAGATCCCAGCATATCCTAGTCTAAGCCACAGATTCATCTAGAATTTTAAACTGCTGCGTTAGACTTTTTGTTTTCAGTACACCGAGCTGGGGCTCGAACCCACATCCATTGAACCATTCGACAGTGAAGCGAATGAGAGGCAGCCGCACAGCCCGCTGAGCTATTTGACCGACGCGCGTGTAATATTGACAAATCGAATTCCAAAGCTTGAGGGTTTACAGTATTTTTCATTGACAAATCATTAAAGTTCTTTTAGCTAGGTCCACAAATGTAACACTGGGATGTTGACTTTGTGTCTGTGACTGCGTTGTATACCTTACCATCAATCATAGTCATTTTGAGTTGGTGCTCGAATGAAAACTCCTCTTCATTTAACGTAACAATTGTATACTTCAGTTGTTTAATGGACTCCTGCACATATTTTATCTCTTCTTTAGTTACATCCGTTGTTTCTTTTACAAATCTAAATCGAATTGGCCGGCAAAACTTTGACGAAGAAGGGGATGGATTTAGCCATATAATTTTACCACCGTTTTTCCCAATAACAATTCGCAAAGGTACAAAGGAACTCATAAAAATGTTTGCATCTGAATCAGTATCAATATTGAAACTTTGCTTCCTCTTCCTCTCCTGCTCGTTAAGTCGAATTAGCACATCTTCTAGGTATTTTGATAATCGTGTCACGGTTAAATCCATTAGGCACTGTAGGTTACTCTCTGCGCAGGTAGATGTAATTTTTAGGGATTCTTTTGGCGGATAGCACTCTTGTTTAGCTTTCAGAACAAGATCATAGCATTGTAAATGTTTTGGATTTGTTGCTCTTATTATTTCATACTGCCGTCTCGATAGATCAGCTTCAAATAACATCTTAAGTGCTTGCAGAGGCGTCAAAAGAGGTAGCTCATCCTTGTCGCCTAAACTTTACTGTAGGCTTTTCTATATTTACTGGCCCGTGTTGATGAGTTCGTAATATCGTTAAGCAATTTTGAGGCGGTCCTATGTCCTGTTGTCCGCAACACAGACTTAGCAGCGTGGACTTCATTACCTACGGAGGCCCTTATTTATTCCGTTTTTCCTTCCTTTACTACGCTCACTTAATTCCGCAAAAGACTTGGGTGGTCGACCTTTAGTGAAAGCTGTTTCAATGGAAATCTCGAATGTTCCCTCTAACCACGATTGGTTTTTTTTTCAGGAAAACATCTAGGTGTTTATTTGCTTTTGCCCATCGTTGCTTAATTTGTGATTTTATATTAGAATATCTTTGTTTGAAGACATCTTTAGCATCTTGGTTGTGCCCATAACGCATTAGGAGAAAATTCTCATAATAGTCAAGTTTTTCATTTAATGTTGGTAAAATTTGACTTTTTAGTTATTCAAATATGTATTGACGAGTCACTACTTTAGTACACGATACAGTAGGTAGACCTGAAACAAATGAAAAACGAGTTTAATACAAAATAACGCAAACTCAATATTTTGCTATATTTGACATAGAGCAATTCAAAGGGACTTAACTCAATAAAGCGCGAATTTGCGCGGCTGTTTTTTATAGAATTACTTAGTTACATATGTCAAGTATATATTATAACAAAAAATATGACAGGGGCGGACTAAGAAGTACTAAAACAGTTATTTAATATAAATTTATGTAAAAAATACATTATGAACAGGGTAATGCTAGTCGTGTTAAAAATTAATCATAGATAATGTGAACTTTGTTCACACTTTGTTTAGTCCCAGATATTGCAATTTTATGCGTTTGATCGTAAACACAATCTCTGGTTCCTTCCTCATTTTTCCTAGAACTTCCTTGTTCGTGATCCTTGCTGTCCATGATATTCTCAGCATTCTTCTATAAAGCCACATCTCAAATGCTTCAAGTTTTTTAATAGTGACGTCTGTAAGCGTCCATGCCTCCGCCCCGTACAACAACACAGAGAAAACATAGCATCTCAAATGTCTCATTTTTGTATCAAGGGATATGTTGTGACTTTTGAAGATGGCGCTCATTTTGTTAAAGACCGTTCTTGCCTTTCCTATGCGGCACTTTATTTCCTGTAAATTGCCTGGAATGGTTGATAGCATATCGTTATTTCGACTTTTTAAAAATGACTTTTGACCGCCTAAATATCTAAAATCTATGTATGTGCGACGTAAATCGAATATACCTTTCCTAAAAATGCATTAAGTATCATATGTCAGAGATGCTTTAGTTTTGTTATAAATAAATTTATTTATACTCCAGTGGTCAGAGACGAAAATGCCACTGCACTTATAAAAATCATACGAAGTTGAATTTTTCCGAGAATGTTAATTTTGGAACCAAAAAAATGTGCAAAAAAGTTTACTATTCCTACCCCCGCCTTCTCACTAAAACCACTCATGATCCTAGAGAAAAAACGGAAAAAATCGATTTACCAAGGAATCTGTGCATCGTAGAAAAAAATATTACAAAAAAAATGTTGCTGAGACAATTTTAAACAAAAATGTTCATTAGCAGTTCTTGTGTAAAATAAACCATTCTCTCAAAAATATCGCTTAAAGCAACGCGGATACGCGCGCGAAATCAATTTTAATCTTCCTACTTTCCCGAAGTAAATGTTACATTCTTTGTCTATTGGTACGAGTGGACCCAGTGGATAAAATTTATACCTGTTGTGGATTTAATTCCAATTTTTTTTTATTAATTCGTAGAAGTTTTTGTAGTTACATGTTATCGATGTATCAAAACTAAAAACATTTTTTTGTAACAAAAAATATAATAAAACTTTATATTCAATTAAAATGATATATTTATTCAATGCAACTTTTACAAAAGATATTTGAATGATTAGGATATTCTGTGCGGAGTGTACATTCGTTTCTGCTATTCCATTCACTCGTAATACGATATAGTGTTACGAAAGACCCTGTATATTTGTAAGTAATTTTAAAACGTGAAGCTTACAGCTACCTCTTACTTTTGTAAATAACTTTTTTGGTGTCCCAGATATACCTAACATATATAACGAACTTTGTCACAAAAGTTGATCACCCTGTATAGATGTGCGTGAAATATAAAACGAAATACTAAACTTTGATAATATTTTCAGAGCCAAGACAGTTCATCAAGTCAACGTCTAAGTAACGCCAATAGCATCGAGATCACACCACCACAAGACTATAAATCAGACCTAACAAATTCAACAAATTCATCCAAAGACAAAAGAGACGGAAGGGGGAAGAAAAAGTCATCTTGGTTTAATTCTCTATATCCTACCTATAAATCAAGATCGGAGGATTTCAAGAAAATTTTTAAAGAAGTACCAGATGATGAAAGGCTCGTTGTAGGTAAGATCAATTTTTATAAAACTTCGTGTCATGTGGTACGATTTAAAACCACCAGTGGATCAAATCAATGAAAGTCATAAACACATAATACCTAGACTGTCCGCTTCAATCTAAACCCGTTCTCCCAGTGCGACAGAGAAAAAAGATACGAGCAATCCTTGCATCTCTTTCCAATGTTTATTGACCACGTGATCTTATTTATAGTACATTTGAAAATTATTAATCATTGAGCGTTCAAATTACCCCTTTGGATTGTAACAAGTTCTGATGAGCCTCTAGGGAAATGCCTGCCCACCGTTATACCATCTCCACACCAAATTGAACTCTCGGAGTAAAACAACATTGCTGATAAGGTTTACCAGCTCTTCTCCATATCCTAGGGTGCCCATCTGGTTATCTGTTAAATCTTGATTCATCCGTGAAAAGCACAGCACTCCACGTCAGCACTCCAATTAAGATGTTCGCGAGCGAAGTGCAAACGTTGCTCCAATAATCTACTGTTAATAGATTGTTAATGTATTCTGGACCTTATTTCATATTCATTTAACCGTCTTCGAACGGTATAAACGGAAACTGTGTTTCTATAGACATAATTTAATAATTGAACAAGTACTGGTGCTGATAATGATAAATAAAATAATGACAATAAAATATAATATAAAATATAATAAAATAAAAAAGCGATCTTCAACTTGACTAATAGTGGTTCTTCGTCTACCCTGACCTGGCCTCCTGGTGTATTGTCTTGTTTCCCGAAATCTTTGTATTGCATCAAATACTGTACAGGAGACAATACAAAAACCTACAGCCGAACTTGTGTACAATCAGGTACAGTGCCACAATAAACTTATATTAATACTAAGCCACTATTTCACATTAATATCAAAACGTATGTGTAAAAGTGTTGTTCGCACAAAACATCTAAATAGGTTCAAAGAAGAAAAAACGTTATAGCTAATAAAGCATAAAATACAATTCAAACAAATTAAACAAGTTTTGATTTAAACACCAACAAAAAACAAAAAAACTGAGTGTCCGGTTAATTTTGTACCCCAGTGTATTATACTACATATAGAGCAGCCTCAATATAATGAAACTGGAAGGAAATTAGAAAATATATTCATTTCTCTACGACACCCACGGTCAATGAATACTTATATTGAGGGTATTACAAAATTCGTTATATTGAGGGTAGTTATATTAAGGTTATACTCTATACAAAGTGCCCAAATAAATGGCCCATTAGATATATACGGCCCATATCTTAAGAACTAAAGGTAACTGAATCATGAAAATAGGAATAAAGGGATTTTCAAGCGTGACATATTTAATGAAAATATTTTCATCTATTTGCTATTTCCGGTTAAACCGAAAGTTGCTTATAACTTTTTTTTACTAGGACACCCTGTATATTTCTTAATTTTATAAGTATTTTTTGAACAGTAAGAAGTATTAACATTTTTTGTTAATACTTCTCTATACCTACTGTAAACCGTTTTTGAGTTCTAATGATGTTTATTTGAAAATTATATTTTTCAACCATGTATATAAAGTTCAATATCCTCTAACGTAATTTCAACAAAATTTTAAATTTGATATAAACTTATTAACTAGATACAGCATTATCGTTTAAATAGTATAAAGTTGCATTTTTCATTATATGGGGTGATGTCAAGATTGGCATACAACCGGCAAACTAAATTTTCGCCTAATTCCTTTTTTTTTAACGGGACACCCTGTATATGAAGAAAAATTTTTTTTCGTAGACTATGTTGTGTTAATTAACGACTTTCGTATTCTAAGTTAAACATTGAACAATTAAAAAGATGCTATTAAAGAATATAGGCACTAGCTTATTTAATCAGATTTTCATTGTAGCTCTTGATATTAATTCTTTATCTATTTCGTTAAGAACTTGAAGGACTTTATTTATTATAGCTTCCTTAGTATGACAGGTTCAGAGAACAGCTTATTTTTAACAAATCTTCAAACACAGTAATCTAACGATGACAACGGGATCTTGGTTAAGAGAGAATCTCATTTTTATTAGCTATCCGTCTATCGCTAAATATTTCATCAAGAAATGAGCCGACTCCTCGAATATTGTAAGCCGGTGCTCCATCTTATTGAAACCAAGCCTCGTTAGCCTAATTATTAAGTAAAGCGTCCAGTGCTGCTACAATTACTTGCCGTAACGTGTTGCAGTAACGGCTGCGTTTAAATTTTCGTCATAAATCATGGGAGCGTCTATCTTATTATTTTTCACAATGCAAAAAGCATTAAACGAAAATAATACTTGAAATTACCATCTTACCTGAGCTGAGGATTTTCGTCACTCCCGAAGTGACTGTTATGGTGGTTAAACATACTATTTTTTTGTAAACTTCAATTCATCACACCATATAATTTTTTTGTAAAATCTTGATCTTGGCGTGTCATTAAAACACATTCATGAAATTCTTCACGTCTTACATAACCTCCAGGATGTAAATGTTGATCTAGTGTATACGAATAAAGAGTCTAATGATGTTTTTTAAAATGCTGTGTTCGAGTTGATACCTGTAACAATTGCTCACATTACCGTAAGGATGAAATTGGATTAGCTGCAAAATATCCCAGGATATCTATTTGTAAGTCTTTATTATTGACGTGGGCCCTTTTACTTATTCGCTCCGTGCGTGACTGATGCGACACCTACCGCCTTCATCTGACAATTTGGGAATCCCAATTTTCAGGTTAAACTTATGACATATGTTTGACATTGTTAAATACATGCGAAATTGACAATTATTAATAAATTAGTTTTTTAGCTATATTTTAAAGTTTATGTACAAAATAAATGTAGTATTAAAAACTGGGTTTCTCAAAATTCATCATAATATACCTTTTCAATTCCAAACGGAAAAGAAAGGGAAAAATCTAGTACTGGCAAATCAAGTTTTTCACGCAAAAGAGCATATAATTAAAAACAATAATAGTAAAAGTTAGGATATAAAAGCTAAAGTCATCTGCAGTTAGCTTGTAGCCTTATGAAATATCATTCAAGGTAAATTATTTAAATTTTTTCTATTTCAATTGCATAAAAATGAAACTATGTGATATTTACTTTTTCATATTAATAGCACGAATTCATCTTTTTCTTTTTTCTAATTTATATGTAATTTTTGGGAACCTATGAAAACTACAATCACCATTTTTGCTATTATCAGCACAATTAAATACGCAACGTGTATTTGCACGCATTTTTGATAAAATTTATGCGTAAAAATATTTTGTCCAAGATTCCCATTTTGTCATATTTCGCCGCTACGCACGCTGGCATCGTTTCAATGTATCCCTACCATGGTCACGCACGGAGCGAATAAACTGACCAAACTGGAAACAGTTGTTCAAGAAACGTTTTACAGTTTTATGATTTGGTCGAGGCTTCTAAGGATATCTCTCAGCAAAAACACGGCAAGTTCTGGATACTATTCTGTTAAACTCACTGTACATTATAATTAAATTTAAAAAATCATGCTTTGTATATCCTAAATGAGCCATTATTAGTTTGTTAAGAAAATTAGGCAAATTAGGCAAACTGTCACCCAATGATATACAACAAAGTTACTACATTACATACATTAACATTAATTACATTACTTACAGTAACAATAACAGAGATTTTTGCCAGAATATTCCATAGGCTACTTGATAAATAAATTGTTTGTGACAAAAATGTATAGTTAATTTATTTGATAACTGCAAGAATACTAATACAAATCGATAATGAAAAACATATTTTTCTAAAACAATGAATCGCATACAGGCAGTCCCATTTGAAAAAAGTAATTAGGCGGAAATTTAGGATGTCGGTTTTATGCCAATTTTGACGGCACCCTGTACAATGAAAAAGACAAATTTACAATGTAAACGATAATGCTGTATCTGGTTAATAAGTTCCTAAGGAATTTAAACTTTTATTCAAATTACTTTATGAGGATATTGAACTTTATATACATGGTAGAAAACTAATTTTTATATAAAAACGATTATAAATTAAAAACAGTTCACAATAGGTGTAGGGAAGTATAAACAAAAAATGTTCAGAATAACGTGAATATTTCTAAAATTTAAAAATATACAGGGTGTCTTATTAAAAACAAAACAAAGTTATAAGCTACTTCCGGTATAACCCGAAGAAACAGATAGATGAAAATATTTTCATTAAATAGGTCACTCTTCAAAACCCCTTCATTCCAATTTTCATGAATCAGTTAGTTTTCGAGATATTTCTAATTGGCCGTTTATCTGCCGCATCCTGTATACATATATATCAGTATAATGGATGTGTAATCTTTCTTCACGAACACACTCAATTAATTTTTCATCCTCAATTATTAACAAAATCGTCTAAACAAATGTCGAAAATATGATACAACTTAAAATAGGTGGCTGACTGAGTGTGTCCTATTCAGACCAACCTTGCAGTCCGGTCCAGTTAAGATGAAGTCAGTCTTGATCGCTGGATGGGCGACCGGACGGATAGTGATTTAGATTATACCGTGACTGTAACTGTACTGTACCGAGGAGAGGAGTTACCTCCTTGGAAAGCCACAGAAGCAATGTTGACCTAAACGTGTTTGACTGTAATGTAACAGTTGGTCTGAATCAATGTGTTACTGTATTATTTATTTCTACAACTTTTGTGTGCATCTAAAAATGACGTTTTTATTTCTTTTGGAACATGACATGTTTTACTATGTAAAAATTGTCAATAAACATATGTATCTAATGAATTTAATTTTAGGCCTGCATTTTGGCTGCAGATTAGATACTTCATAATTTATCTTTGATTAATATTGTTTACTTTTATTCAAAGTTAATATCGGCAAGATGATAATTTAATTGATTCCTACATTACTACACTTCAATCATTTCAATAGCCGGTATCCTCTTTATCGTTTATCTATTCACATGTGATGATAAGATTTCGTACACAGGTGTTTTAGTTTGATTGACATAAATAATATATTTCTAAACGTAGCGTGAATCTGTTTTACTCCAATGAATTTATAACTATCAGGTAATTATATATTATTTTGTTATTTTCAGACTATTCTTGCGCTTTGCAAAAAGAGATTCTGCAACAAGGTCGATTATACGTTACACAAAACTACCTCTGCTTTTACGCTAATATTTTTGGCTGGGAAACTAATCTAACTATAAAATGGAAGGACGTAGCAGCTATCACAAAGGAAAAGACAGCTCTCGTTATTCCAAATGCAGTTTTGATCAGCACCAAAGGAGAGAAGTACTTCTTTACCAGTTTTGTTTCGAGAGAGAAGACCTATTTAATGTTGTTTCGGGTATGGCAGAATGCACTTATGGATCAACCTATGCTCCCTCAAGAGATGTGGCAATGGGTATGTTTTATCATGAAATTAGTTATTTATATGTATCCGGTTTTCTAACGTTTTACGTCTTTTGGAAAGAATCAGTCACTTCTAGTTGTGACATCCTATTGCTCACTGTACTGCTCATCTATTGGTCGACTCGATTCACTCGTTTATATTTCAAAGTAGTAGACTCAATTAAGATTTTACCTATATTACTTCGTTTAAAAAGATTTTGGCACAATTGTGGCTGTAACCAACTAAACCACTCACAAAGAAGTGAGCCTACTACAACAACTAAAGCAACATTAAAATGAAGCCTACTACGAAGACTGCGGCATACTACGAAGCAAATTTTAAATTCAATATTATTGTCAAGTTATCGTTTAAAAATTATGTATTACTTTATCTGCGACGACAGATGAGTGCATTTTAAGTCGGTGATCCCTTTGTGAACGGACTTTTTTATATTAAATATGTGAATAATTTGTTTTTAGGACATATTAGGGCAAAGATATACAAAATAAAGGTTTTTTATGTCATTTTTGTAATGATTAGAAAAAAAGTGGTACCATATAGTACCACTAGTTTACAACGAAAAAATTATTTAGCGTGAAATGGAATGAAACAATTTTTATTTTCAGATAGTCATAAACCTACATCACAGTACAGTACGTGTAGTACAGCGCCTTCTTGTACGATGAGGAGTTACTTGGTACTGCAGTATTTACTTACAGTTCTTATTTCTAGAAGAACTTGTTTTTTGAACCTTTTACTGGTGCTTGGATTGTCCATAGTTCTTCTTCCAAATTTTAGCATTTGGAGATCTACTCCAATCAAACCAGTGGCCACAACAAGTTTAAATACTTTTAAAGACATTCTCGTACCAGGTATATATGAGTTAAGTATTGTTAGGTCAACAAAATGGAAAAAAATTCTATGGCACCACTTTTTGGATTTTCTATCCAATTTTTCACTCTTATGGTCACTTGTACGTAGTATGTTGACCTGTAGGCATATCTCCACTTTGTTCATTTTCTCTCCTGGCAACATAACGAAAAATATAGTATATCACGAGGTTTACGCAAGTAAATAACAAAATAAAGTTATATTCAAGATAATAAAATTGAACTGCCAATTCTACGACTACGGCCTCAACGCACGGCTCGGCGAGTCACAGTGTATTAATACACACGCAGTGAAGAAAGGAGGGGTGGTCAGAGGAATAGAGGGGGAACAGGCCGATTATCACTCTGTCCGGCGAGGAGCGGAAAGCGACTAATCAGCAGTTAGCCACGGGAAAGAATAGGTCTGTCTCAGATCAATACTCCAAGTATACTCTATATATCCATACTCTAGCAGAAGCGGTTGGGCAGTTAATACCCTAGAGCCAGTGGAGTTGTTATCAGATCAACACTCTGATGGAACTCCGGACGGTTGGCCTTCAATCACTCAAAGGCGCGGTAAAGTTCCCACTAGATCAGCATTCTAGCGGAAGTGGATTCTTTCTTGTGCCGTAATGTCCTCAAGCGCGACTAGTACGCGCTCGAGACGCATCGCCCCGCCCCTCATTTTTCCTATTGGTCCCTGACCTGGAAATCCCTATTTATCGCTACATCAGCGTGTATAAAAATAGGCGATTTTCAGGTAAACCAAGTCAGTCCCTCACGGGCTCTCCGAGAGCTTAGTGCTCTCGGGGCTCTGCTTTCTTTTTAGCTTTTTCCCATACTCTGTGGCTGAGTATTATTTCAACAATATTTGGTGTTTTATTTCGACTACTATTTAGTCATGTAAGAAATATCTTGCCTTTTTCAAGGCAAGTCACCGAAGCTAAGAACCTGATGTCTATTTCGACAACTTCATCGTATGTCATGTAAGAAATAGCTCGTCTTTTTCAAGACGAGCTCATCGAAAGAAAACTTAACAAGTTCATATCCTGAAAATGGACTTGGGTAGTTTTGCTTTCGTCGACGTTTCCGAAGCCCTCTACAGAGCAACCGGAGGCAATAGAAGGATGTTAGACCGCTTTCATTCCCCCCGAGGTGACAGTAAGCTGTTTTATACGATCGTCGGTCATCCATCTCCTCTAGCGCTTATCGATGGAAGAGGAACTTGTATTGGGAGTGCTTGTGTACGGAACGCTGACGGGGCGTGGCGATGCACATCGTTACATTTTTAACTTTGATCTTTCCTTACATCATAAATCTTCGCATTTTATAGTTACGACTCCTAGTAATATGATCTAGATAATCCAGTTTTTCACTTTAATTGTCTTAATGACTGCGCACCTTTTGTGTAATTGTCTTATTACTGAGGCATTAGTAACTCTTTGTATCCGCGGTATTTTGAGCATCCGTCTATAGCATTACATCTCAAATGTCTGTAATCACTATCTTTAATATCCATACTTTTATTCCATATAACAAGGTCGTAACATTTTTACGCTTTTATCCTTAATTATATATTAAGATCATGATTAGTAATAATCTTTTGCATCCTCACAAAAGCGTCCCTCACAATGTCAATGCGTGTTCGTATTTGTTTACTTTGTTTGTTGTTGTCATTTAATTAAGGTCCTAGATATTTGCAGTTTGCTTTTTTTTTCGTTGGCTAGCGTCCCTTGTATATGTTTCTTTTTTTTAATAATCATGAACGTAGTTTTCCTCCTTTTCATTTCTAATCCGTGCTTTATATTACATTCATTTGGTCTGTTTACTTAATATTGTAGTGCATTTAACTGTTAGCTCAAGTAACGGTGTCATCTGCATATCATATGGTTTTTAAGATTTTCCTGTTTATTACTGTACCGTACTATATAAAGGTTGAGTAACAATGAAGATAACACACACCCTTGTCGGACGCCTCTATTAATGTCTGTTTCACAGTTGTCAATTTTGATTATTGCTCTTTAATTCCAATACGGTGTAATTATGATATGTATTTTTCGACTGTTCACATTCTTTTCCCTTAGCAGTTCTACTAGTTTCGAATGTCTTTCTCTATTGAATGCCTTTTGAAAATCAATGAATTCGAACTGGTTATTATCTGTATCTTCTTCCAGATTTTTGTAGAATCTTTTGTGTATTATTTGCAGGAAGATTTTTGTTGAGAAATCACTAGAGTATAATAGACCGGCATTTCTGTGTCTGATTGACCTAAAGAAAGCGTTTGACAGAGTAAGACTCAAAGATGTAATCCATCTTCTATATAATAGAGAAGTTCCCCTAAATATTATAAAAATTATCGAAAACATCTACCAAAACAACAAAATGGAAGTCAGAATAGATGGACAACTTATAGAACCTATAGAAATAGGCAGCGGAATAAGACAAGGGGATTCGTTCAATTGAATCATGGATGAAATCATCAAAAGTGTTAACAACGGAAGAGGATACAGAGTGGGAAACAAAGAAATAAAAATACTCTATTACGCAGACGACGCAATATTGATAGTCCAAAATGAAGATAGTCTGCAAATACTGGCGCACAGATTTAACATACGAGCAAAAGAATTTAATATGAAAATCTCATCTCAGAAAACTAAAACAATAGTAGTCAGCAAAGAACAAACCAGATGTAAAATGTAAATTTATGACATCGTTATTGACCAAGTAATGGAAATAAAATACCTGGGAATTACACTGTCCAGTATGTAGACCTGGACAAAGAAACGAGAGATAAGTACAAAGAGCAAGTACGCTGGCAGAATGCCTTAATAACACTATATAGCGAAACAGACACATTAAAACTAAGATAATGTCAAGAATTTATAAAGCCAGTATAAGACCAATAATGACATATGCCTCAGAAACAAGACCCGACACAGCCACAACACAAAGGCTACTGGAACGGCAGAGATGAGAGTACGGAGAAGAAGTACGCAGGGAGATCGAAAGAGAAGTGAAGACATTTGCAGAAAATGTGACATACAAAAAAAAAATGGAATAAGCACAATGGAGGAGACCCGTATCGTCAATAGCAAGAAATAAGTCACCAATAGGCAAAAGAAGTATCGGACGACCGCGCAAAAGATGGAGTGACAACCTTCCACAGAGTATTAATCCGCACTTATAAAGAGGAAGTAGATTTTAAGTGTGTGCCTTATTAAAGATAATGTTTTGTATTGTGAACATCCTGTTGCGCGTGCTTCTTTGGTAGTGTAACAAGACAATAACCATTATACATACATACATACATACATACATACATACATACATACATACATACAAGACAATAACCATTTTATGTAAATTTTGTTAAATAGATTTGTGGAGGGTTTCATCATAAATGCATTTGATTAATTCATGAAGTATCCCATCTGGGCCTACTGCTTTGTCCTATCTAGTAAGTACTAAATATCAAAACACAGCGAGTCTAGTCTGTAATAGATTTTAGCGGCAAAATGTTAATTGGGAGGCGAATTTGTGTGGATAATTATGAATAATTATGATAATAACTCAGTATTTTGCCGCCAACTGTTTTATGACTTAGAAAATGAGTCCCTGAAAATCCTATTGAATTTTGAGTATAGTTATTTTTACAATATTACTAAAAAATCTGTCATAAAAGACTAGCAAATTTTAGTAATCTCGTAGTACATATAGGTACTTGTTCCAAGTAAAACACATACTTATAAACTCATCGATTTTTTCTTCTTTGGAAAGTGTATCATTGATACTAATAATATCACTTGTTTAACACATCATTTATGAAGGTAATCGTAAGAAATTTCCATGTCAGAACAGTTAAGTATTATATTGCATTTTAATTATATATTAACATTTTATATACATAAAAAATATGAGTTTGCAAGTCGGAACGTTAAGTAACAAATAATTTAAATTTAAATTTGTGTTTTCATTTTGATGTATAAGTTTTTCATATATTTTATTAAAAATATTCCGTAAATAGCAAAAATATTTATTTGTAGTTTTAAATTTCATATCGGAAACCCGAAAATACAATTTATAAAAACAAAGCAGATTACATACTTATGTCTTATTAATTATTAATGCAAAAAATAAATGGTT